TGTGGTCTGTGGTCTCTGTGGTCTCTGTGGTCTCTGTGGTCTCTGTGGTCTCTGTGGTCTCTGTGGTCTCTGTGGTCTCTGTGGTCTCTGTGGTCTCTGTGGTCTCTGTGGTCTCTGTGGTCTCTGTGGTCTCTGACGGTCTGTGGTCTCTGTGGTCTCTGTGGTCTCTGTGGTCTCTGTGGTCTCTGACGGTCTGTGGTCTCTGTGGTCTCTGTGGTCTCTGTGGTCTCTGTGGTCTCTGACGGTCTGTGGTCTGTGGTCTCTGTGGTCTCTGACGGTCTGAGTCTGAGTCTGAGGTTTTGGCAGTGGTCTCACATTCCTCTGTGTCTCGGGGAATCAGTGGGAACGTTTAGAAAAAGGAAATAACAAAGACGTGAGTAAAGGAGGTGATCTCAAAGTGAGTTCAGAGGAGACAAAACTCTCGCTCTGATCTCTGTGGTCTCTCTCTCTCTGATCTCTCTGGTCTCTCTCTCTCTGATCTCTCTGGTCTCTCTCTCTCTCTGATTTCTCTGGTCTCTCTCTCTCTGATTTCTCTGGTCTCTCTCTCTCTGATCTCTCTGGTCTCTCTCTGATCTCTCTGGTCTCTCTCTCTCTGATTTCTCTGGTCTCTCTCTCTCTGATCTCTCTGGTCTCTCTCTCTCTCTGATTTCTCTGGTCTCTCTCTCTCTGATTTCTCTGGTCTCTCTCTCTCTGATCTCTCTGGTCTCTCTCTCTCTCTCTGATCTCTGTGGTCTCTCTCTCTCTGATCTCTCTGGTCTCTCTCTCTCTGATCTCTCTGGTCTCTCTCTCTGATCTCTCTGGTCTCTCTCTCTCTCTGATCTCTCTGGTCTCTCTCTCTCTCTCTGATCTCTCTGGTCTCTCTCTCTCTGGTCTCTCTAGTCCCAGAGATCAGGTGTTCTACTCTCCTTTGTGCAGACTCCAGATCCTGTTTTCAAAGCTGTGTTTGCTAATTAGCGACAGAGATAATTTAACTAGAGGCAGGTTTGATGAGACTGGCCCCGTTTCGGCAGCGAGAGGATTTTACACAAAGGCTGCATCCAAATACGCCCAACATGCCTCCTTCCTCCTCTCCTTTGTACTAGACATTGAGCTGCAGGTTTAGTCTTTCGCTCTGGTCTTGGTCTCTCTCTAGTCTCTCTCTCTCTCTCTGGTCCCTCTCTCTGGTCCCTCTCTCTCTGGTCTCTCTCTCTCTGTGGTCTCCCTGGTCTCTTAAAACACACTGCTGCTGCTTCAAGCCTTGTGTTATTATGAGAACACATCACCCCTCCCCTAAGCGGCGGCGGCGGCGGCGGCGGCGGCGGCGGCAGCAGCAGCAGCAGCAGCAGCAGCAGCAGCAGCAGCAGCAGCAGCAGCAGCAGCAACAGCAGCAGCAGCAGCAGCGGCAGGCCCCTCCCCCTGTGCATCTTACGGTCCTCTCTTGTTTGTTGTCACTACAGCTCGTGCCGTTCCTCAGACTCTGTTTCTGCTGCAGACTTGTTTTGGTTCTAATGTTACAACGACAATCTGTGTTTTGGGGTCAAACACGCCATTTTCATCTGACGTCAAAAACACAAAACCAAGATGCACTTTATGTACTTTGGTGACAGTGGCTCTGTAGAGCAGTGGCCTTTGAGCCTGAAGGTCGTGGGTTCGAGTCCACCACAAGACTTTCTCCACCGACTCCCACTGATGTCTGCTGTGGTTGTGTCCTTAGGCAAGACACTTCCCCCACATTAGAATGAGTCTGGTGTGTGTGTGAATGGTTGGTGGTGGTGGGAGGGGCTGATGGCACAGACTGGTTGCCTCGCTTCTGCCAGTGTGCCCCAGGGCAGCTGTGGCTACAGTAGTTTATCACCACCGTGTTTGGAGTGAGAGAATGATGACATGTGAAGAGACTTTGAGCGTCCTGGAGGCGCTGTATAAAACTGATCATTATGACTTTGGATTTTCAAGTTTTTGTATTGTTTAGGTTTTTCACACTACCCAAACTCTACTTATTACTGTAGAGAAGGCAAGGTTATTTGTGTGGCACAGTTCATACATAAGGCAACTCAGACAGACGATAAAATCAAGAATAATCACAGTTCATTAAAAATAGTTAACCCTAAATAATTAAAATAGCTCTAATCAAATCCTTAAGTTTTTGCACAAAACTGTTTTTATTTTATTCGAACATTGTCGGAGAAGAAGTCTGTCTCACATTTTTTTAGGGAGACTGTTCCAGATTTTAGCTGCATGAATCTGAAATGCTGTCTCCTCATGTTTAGTGCGGACCATGGGGCCAGCAGGAGGCCAGTCCCTGTGCTCCTCAGAGTCCCAGCAGGAGGCCAGTCCCTGTGCTCCTCAGAGTCCCAGCAGGAGGCCAGTCCCTGTGCTCCTCAGAGTCCCAGCAGGAGGCCAGTCCCTGTGCTCCTCAGAGTCCCAGCAGGAGGCCAGTCCCTGTGCTCCTCAGAGTCCCAGCAGGAGGCCGGTCCCTGTGCTCCTCAGAGTCCCAGCAGGAGGCCAGTCCCTGTGCTCCTCAGAGTCCCAGCAGGAGGCCAGTCCCTGTGCTCCTCAGAGTCCCAGCAGGAGGCCAGTCCCTGTGCTCCTCAGAGTCCCAGCAGGAGGCCGGTCCCTGTGCTCCTCAGAGTCCCAGCAGGAGGCCAGTCCCTGTGCTCCTCAGAGTCCCAGCAGGAGGCCGGTCCCTGTGCTCCTCAGAGTCCCAGCAGGAGGCCGGTCCCTGTGCTCCTCAGAGTCTCAGCAGGAGGCCAGTCCCTGTGCTCCTCAGAGTCCCAGCAGGAGGCCAGTCCCTGTGCTCCTCAGAGTCCCAGCAGGAGGCCAGTCCCTGTGCTCCTCAGAGTCCCAGCAGAAGGCCGGTCCCTGTGCTCCTCAGAGTTGGTCTTGGAGAGACTTGGAGAGAAAACAGAGAAGCTTTAAAGTCTGTTCTGTATAAACTCCTCATTCAGTAGTTGATGATAAAACAATTAGAGCTTCTGTCTTTCTGTTGCCATGGGGACAAGGTTTTATCTTTTTTTTTGTAAATCAACTTCAACACATTTCAATGCAATAATGGCTCACTCCAAACTAAACTGTACCATGTGTCAATCTGAATTCAAGTGGTAATAAAATAAATGTATGAATCAAAAATGTTTGAACCTAATAATTCTTTAATTCTATAGTTTACAGATACATGGATCTCTGATGGAAGTTAAAACCATTTACAGAGAAAAGGGGACAGTCACATTTAGGGCGTGTCGTGTCGGAGGCTTTGTGGATGGAAGAATGAACAGGACAGAGACTATTTCATGCTTAATGTTTTGGGATAAATCAATCAATCTGTAATTATTGATCATATATTATGCATAAAACATAATGTAATAACCGCAGACAAACTGGGCGCTGTGGACTTAACACTTTTAAAACAACAGGAGCTGATATAGTACGGTGTGAACCAATCAGTGTTTAAGTAGTGCGCCCTCTGCTGGACACAAACGGAACTGAACAAGAGTCTGAAGCTCCAGCGGCCGCGGTCACATCGGTCCAGTTTAGTTTGAAGTGAATCTAAAATTAAACTGTTTCACAAATATCGAAATAAATGTCACATTTTGCCACTTTCCTAATGATAGATTATTTTGTCTCCTGTTCATCTGACCTCCCCTCTCTCCCCTTTCTCACCTTTCTCTCTCCTCTCCCCCCCTCTCTCTAATCCCCCTTGCGCTCCCCTTACTTTTGCCTCTCTCTCCCCTCTCTCCCCTGTCTCCCCCCCACCCCCACCCCTCTCTCCTCTTCGCAGATGCACGTTCCGGTTCCCCAGCACCAACATAAAGATTGCGTTCACGGCTCTGTCCAGTGGGAGGAAGCTGAAGAGAGAAGCCCCAGAGTCTCCCATCAAGTCTGTGCAGCCGCAGATCTCCCCCTTAACCATCAACATCCCCGACAACATCGCACACCTGATGAGCCCGCTACCATCGCCCACCGGGACCATCAGGTGACCACACACACCATGAACTACCCATAGAAACTCTATGGTCTCCCCCTGGTCTCTTTCTGGTCTCTCCCTGGTCTTTCTGGTCTCTCTCTCTGGTCTCACTCTGGTCTCAGTGGACTCTCCCTGGTCTTTCTGTCTCTCTCTGGTGTTTCTCTAGTCTCTCAGGTCTGTCTCTGATCTCTCTCCGGTTTCTTGATCTTGTCTCTCTCTCAGGTCTCTCTCAGGTCTCCCTCAGGTCTCTCTCTCTGGTCTCTCTATGGTCTTTCTCTGGTCTCTCTCTGGTCTCACTCTGGTCACCTTCGTCTCTCTCTCAGGTCTCCCTCAGGTCTCCCTCAGGTCTCTCTCTGGTCTCTCTCTGGTATCTCTGGTCTCTCTCTGATCACTCTCACTGGTCTGTCTCTCTGGTCTCGCTCTCTGGTCTTTCAGGTCTCTATGGTCTCTCTCTGGTCTCTCTCTGATCTCTATCTGGTCTCTCTCTGTCTCTATCTGGTCTCTCTCTGGTCTCACTCTGGTCTCACTCTGGTCTCTCTCTGGTCTCTCTCTGGTCTCTCTCTGGTCTCTCTCTGGTCTCTCTCTGGTCTCTCTCTGGTCTCTCGCTGGTCTCTCGCTGGTCTCTCTCTGGTCTCTCTCTGGTCTCTCTCTGGTCTCTCGCTGGTCTCTCGCTGGTCTCTCGCTGGTCTCTCGCTGGTCTCTCGCTGGTCTCTCGCTGGTCTCTCGCTGGTCTCTCGCTGGTCTCTCGCTGGTCTCTCTCTGGTCTCTCTCTGGTCTCTCTCTGGTCTCTCGCTGGTCTCTCTCTGGTCTCTCTCTCACATCCCTGAGACACAGACATTTTTTTACGTTTATTATCTAAACATGTATCTTTTCTGTTGCCGTGGTGACCCCCGTCTCCTCCCTAGTGCTGCTAACTCCTGCCCCTCCTCTCCGCGGGGGGCCGGCTCCTCGGGGTTCCGTCTCGGGAGCCGCATGGTCAGCTCTGCAGAACTGCAGCTCATCAACGACAACTCACAACCCGAGCACGACAAGGACAACTCTGGAGAGGACAGCCCCAAGGTACGGAGCACAGGGACTGAGCACAGGGACTGAGGCTACACCATGAAAACTAATGTATCCAGTCTGAGCAGCTTCTAATGTGTGTGTGTCTATGTGTGTGTGTGTGCGTGTATATGTGTGTGTCTGTGCATGTGTGTGTGTGTGTTTGTGTGTGCTTGTATGTGTGTGTGTGTGTGTGTGTGTCTCTGTGTGTGTGTGTGTGTGTGTGTCTCTGTGTGTCTGTGTCTCTGTGTGTGTTTCAGGACGACTCGAAGCCTCCGTACTCTTACGCACAGTTGATAGTTCAGGCAATAACTCTGGCTCAGGACAAACAGCTCACACTCAACGGCATCTACAACCACATCACCAAGAACTACCCCTACTACAGGACGGCAGACAAGGGCTGGCAGGTGAGAGCACAGGGACTGGTGAGAGCACAGGGACCAATCAGTGGCTGTCCCCTGTTGCTTTACAGCAAGAAGGTCCTGGGTTCAGTTCCACCTCCAGACCTTTCTGTGTGCAGTTTCCATGTTCTCCCCGTGGTTTCCTCCAGGTTCTCTGTTTTCCCCTACCATTAAAAACATGTTCTGGTAGCTGCTCCATCTCTGTGTGGAGGGAGTGAGAAATGCCCACAACAAATGTAAAGCAGTGAAAGGCGCTATAGAAATATATTTATAAAATATACACAGTGGGGCAAAAACGTATTTAGTCAGTCACCGATTGTCCAAGTTCTCCCACTTAAAGTAATGACAGAGGTCTGTAATGTTCATCATAGGTTCACTTCAACTGTGAGAGACAGAATGAGAAGAAAATCCAGGAATTCACATTGTACGATTTCTAAAGAATTTATTTGTAAATTATGTTGGAAAATAAGTATTTGGTCAAAAACAAAAATTCAACTCAATACTTTGTAATATAACGTTTGTTGGCGATAACAGAGGTCAAACGATTACTATAGGTCTTTACCAGGTTTGCACACACAGTAGCTGGTATTTTGGCCCATTCTTCCATGCAGATCTTCTCGAGAGCAGTGAACACGGACTTTCAACTCCCTCCACAGATTTTCAATGGGGTTGAGGTCTGGAGACTGGCGAGGCCACTCCAGGACTTTCAAATGCTTCTTACGGAGCCACTCCTTCGTTGCCCGGGCGGTGTGTTTGGGATCATTGTCATGCTGGAAGACCCAGGCACGTTTCACCTTCAAAGCTCTCACTGATGGAAGGAGGTTTTGGCTCAAAATCTCACGATACATGGCCCCATTCATTCTTTCCTTAACACGGATCAGACGTCCTGTCCCCTTAGCAGAAAAACAGCCCCAAAGCATGACGTTTCCACCCCCATGCTTCACAGTAGGTATGGTGTTCTTGGGATGCAACTCAGTATTCTTCTTCCTCCAAACACGACGAGTTGAGTTTATACCAAACAGTTCTACTTTGGTTTCATCTGACCACATGACATTCTCCCAATCCTCTGCTGTATCATCCATGTGCTCTCTGGCAAACTTCAGACGGGCCTGGACATGCACTGGCTTCAGCAGGGGGACACGTCTGGCACTGCAGGATTTGATTCCCTGTCGTCGTAGTGTGTTACTGATGGTAACCTTTGTTACTTTGGTCCCAGCTCTCTGCAGGTCATTCACCAGGTCCCCCCGTGTGGTTCTGGGATTTTTGATCACCGTTCTCATGATCATTTTGACCCCACAGGATGAGATCTTGTGATTGAGGGAGATTATCAGTGGTCTTGTATGTCTTCCATTTTCTGATAATTGCTTCCACAGTTGATTTGTTCACACCAAGCTGCTTGCCCATTGTAGATTCACCCTTCCCAGTCTGGTGCAGGTCTACAATTCTTTTCCTGGTGTCCTTCGACAGCTCTTTGGTCTTGGCCATAGTGGAGTTTGGAGTCTGACTGTTTGAGGCTGTGGACAGGTGTCTTTTATACAGATGAGTTCAAACAGGTGCCATTAATACAGTAACGAGTGGAGGACAGAAGAGCTTCTTAAAGAAGAAGTTACAGGTCTGTGAGAGCCACAGATCTTCCTTGTTTGACGTGACCAAATACTTATTTTCCACCATCATTCACAAATAAATTCTTTAAAAATCCTACAATGTGAATTCCTGGATCTTTTTTTTAATTCTGTCTGACTTGAAGTGAACCTATGATGAAAATTACAGACCTCTGTCTTTATTTTAAGTGGGAGAACTTTCACGATCGGTGGCTGACTAAATACTTTTTTCCCCCGCTGTATAAATATAAATATTATAATATAAATCCAGATATGAGCCATATAAGGATTGACCAATCAGGTGTCAAATTCATTCAGGGGGGAAAGTCCAGCCTTAGCAACCGTCTTAGCAACACGTCTGCTCCTGTTAATGCGCTAAGCTAACAACGTCAGAGCAAATGCCCATATAAGGAAACTGGCTCCAGCTTATGTTCAAATCAGCTTCTTCTGCTTTAAAGCTAACACTGTGGTGATGTCATGCTGTGGTGATGTCACGCTGTGGTGATGTCACTCTGTGGTGATGTCACGCTGTGGTGATGTCACACTGTGGTGATGTCACGCTGTGGTGATGTCACTCTGTGGTGATGTCACTCTGTGGTGATGTCACACTGTGGTGATGTCACACTGTGGTGATGTCACGCTGTGGTGATGTCACGCTGTGGTGATGTCACACTGTGGTGATGTCACGCTGTGGTGATGTCACGCTGTGGTGATGTCACGCTGTGGTGATGTCACGCTGTGGTGATGTCACTCTGTGGTGATGTCACACTGTGGTGATGTCACACTGTGGTGATGTCACGCTGTGGTGATGTCACACTGTGGTGATGTCACGCTGTGGTGATGTCACGCTCTGTTCTGACCCGTCTTCTGTTGCAGAACTCGATCCGTCACAACCTGTCCCTGAACCGATACTTCATCAAAGTGGCGCGGTCGCAGGAGGAGCCGGGGAAGGGATCGTTCTGGAGGATAGACCCGAGCTCCGAGTCCAAACTGGTGGAACAGGCTTTTAGGAAGAGACGACCGAGAGGGGTGCCCTGTTTTCGAGCCCCACACGGACCTCTGTCATCCAGGTACAGGACTGAGGCTGTAGACCCAGGACTGAGGCTGTAGACCCAGGACTGAGGCTGTAGACTCAGGACTGAGGCTGTAGGCCCAGGACTGAGGACTGAGGCTGTAGACCCAGGACTGAGGCTGTACAGTAGATCCAGGACTGGGGCTGTAAACCCAGGACTGAGGCTGTAGGCCCAGGACTGAGGACTGAGGCTGTAGGCCCAGGACTGAGGACTGAGGCTGTAGACCCAGGACTGAGGCTGCAGACCCAGGACTAAGGCTGAAGATAGAATGTGGTCTGAACATGTGTTGTTTATGAAAAAATGAAAATTCAGGTCACCCAGCTTTAAAGGCCTCCTCTGGTCCCTACAGTAAGGGTTTCTCTCATGTTTTTTCAGGAGTGCACCAGTGTCTCCCAACCACTCGGGGGTGCTCTCTGCTCACTCCAGCGGCGTGCAGACCCCCGACAGTCTGTCCAGGGAGGGCTCCCCGGTGCCCCTGGAGGTGGACCAGTCTGTGAGTGTGACATCACAGAAGCTGACCCAGGAGTCCAGGTTCAGCCACGCCACGCCAGGTACTCTCCACCTGTGTACTCTCTCTCTCTCTCTCTCACACCCTGTCTCTGTACTCTCTCACCCCGTCACTGTACTATCTCACCCCGTCACTGTACTCTCTCACAGTGACAGGGGTCACTGTACTCTCTCTCTCTCATCCTGACCACTGCTTGAGTACTCATTCCCAACTTTCACCTGTGTCTCTCTCCTCTGTCCTCTCACCCCACTCTGGGTCCAGTCCCTCTCTCCTCATCTCTCCCCCTTCTGAGACTAGGCTCTCGTCCTCTCTCTCTCACTTTCTCTTTCTCTCATTCTGTCTCTCTCACATTACCTCACCGGTTTCAGTCTTTCACCCCTCCCCCCCTGGTCCAAGTCCATCTCTCTCTCCCCCTCTCCTCGGTCCTCATCGCGATGCAGAGGCCTAGGAGTCTCTCTCACCCTCTCTCTCACCCCTCTCTCTCTCACCCCTCTCTCCAGGTTCTCCGGTCCCCACCTCCTCGGTCCTCATTGCGGTGCAGAGGCCCCTGACTCAGACCCTGAAGCCCGTCACTTACACAATGGCGTCCCCCGTGAGCTCGGGGTCCCAGCCTCCTCTGCAGACCGTCCATGTCCTGCAGCAGATACAGACTCAGACCCTGCTGCAGCCAATCAGGAGCGAGCAGACCCTGCTGCAGCCAATCAGGAGCGAGGAGAACGGCACCCACGCAGATGTGAAGAGTGAGGCTAATTATAGATATTATTATTAATTGGGATCTTAGATGACGCTTAATATAGAAGAAAAACATCTTTCACAATATTATAAACACAGAAACAGCTATTTTAAAAAGGTAGGTCCTGAGTCCAACTGCTGCGTGTGAGGCTGAAAGTGAGGAGAGGGAGAGAGGGAGGAGAGAAAGAAGAGAGAGAGATGACGGTGAGGAGAAAGTGAGGAGAGAGAGAGCAGCAGGTGAAGAAGTGAGAGAACGAGAGGACGAGGTGTATGTGACGAGCAGATCTGAGGCAGATCTAAGTCTGTGCGTCTTTTTAATGCTCTCTTCTTCTCTGTCTGCAGCAGTCAAAGTGGAGGCGGTACTTCCTTCCCTCCAGCCCCAACAGACCATCACCCTCCTCCCCCCTGTGGGGACGCACCAGCTGCCAATCAAGACCATCACACAGAACGGCCACAGCCTCGCTACTGCCATCCAGGGCCACAGCACCGGTACTGCACCCAATCCAATCCACTTTATTTATAGAGCACAATTCATAAACAAGCGCTGTACAACAAGCAAAAAAATATGGCAACCATTAAATATATATATATATATATATATATATTATGCAATATGCTGACTATAGCATTAGTCTGACCCTGATGTGAGAGACCTACCAGAGCGAGTGAGAGAGAGAGCAGAGTGAGAGAGAGAGAGGCCGCAGTAGGACGTTCTGTAGATAACAGTCTGTGCTCTCTCTCCTGCAGCCGCTGCTAGTCCTCTGCACCTGTTAGCCGCTCACGCCTCGGCCTCCGCCTCGCTGCCGACCAAGCGTCAGAACGGGGACCAGAGCTCCGAGCCCGAAGCCAAGCGCACCAAGGCGGACCCAAACCAGCCCAGCCCCGCCCCCTCCTCCACCAGCTCCTCCAATCAGCTGCCAGAAAACAAATACATCAAAGCAGACGCGGACCAGCCCAGCTCCACGTTCACTTCCTGTGCGCCCAACGACAGCACGGCAGCTAACGACCACAGCGGAGACCTCAACTAACACATACTCACCCCTACCCTAAAGCACCTCCCCCTCCTCCCCCAAACACCTCCCCCTCCTCCCCCATTCACACTGCAGACACTTACAACCAGACAGGTTTAAATGACTTGAATTCTTTGAGTGGATGTAGTCGTGTAAAGCTGAGGTACTGAACTTTTTAAATAAGTAAAAATATAATAACCGCAACTTGCTCTTCAGCTTGTGGAGCTTTGTATGTACCTGCAGGTCACAGCCAGATCCTGTCAGACCTCTGGAGCTAAGCAGGGCAGGGCTTGGTTACCACTGTGATGGGAGACCTCTGGGAACAGCAGGTGCCACAGTGGGGCTTTGTCCTTAGGCAAGACACTTCCCCCACATTAGAATGAGTCTGGTGTGTGTGTGAGTGGTTGGTGGTGGTGGGAGGGGCCGATGGCACAGACTGTCAGTGTGCCCCAGGGCAGCTGTGGCTACAAAAGTACTTTATCACCACCGTGTTTGGAGTGAATGAATATTAACATGTGAAGAGACTTTGAAAGTCCAGGGAAGCACTGTATAAAACACATGCATTATTATTATTATTATTATTATTATTATTAAAAACATATTATCTTGTGCATACTTGTACAGAAGAGCCCTGTGAGTCACTATTTGACACTTTAGGCTGATTTACAGAAGTGGCAGAGGTTAGCAATACATCCAAACTAGCGTTATAGATTGCGTTTGAAAGTTGGGTCCCTCAGCTTTAAACCTGGAGAATTCCACAGAAAAACCTACATTTATTTCACTTGTTTGAAGTCGGTTTATGAACTGAACTTGATTTTCTGTTTTGGAACCAGATTTGAGTGTTTTTAAGAAACACATTTATGTAAACTCATATATGTCTTTATGGGACAAATCCTACAGTATTCTCAAAACAATCAGTTCAGTAGAAAATGCAAAACACATGAAACCAGTCAATTATAATAATACTGCTTCAAATGAGTGAAAGTTTAGCCCTGTTTCCACCAACTCTAGTCTAGTCTAGTCTAGTCTAGTCTTCTTGTGGCTCCACTCAGTTCTTCTACAAACTACCCACAACAAACCAGTATCAAGGGAAATTCCTTGGCAACCATGGCTTCCAGCAGCACCCTGGCCAAACATTTTAGTGCCAGCTCGGCCTGTATAGAACCAGGACCAAGAGGCACTAAAGATGCACCTGGTTCTGGTAGGGTAGGGTAGGGTAGGTGGAAACAGGGCAATAATCATAACACATTGAATTCAAGTCACACATGAACCTGTGTGTTTGTTTATTGTGTACATTCTGACTCCTCTTCATGGTTCCTCTCCCCATGGTTCCTCTCCCCATGGTTCCTCGCCCCATGGTTCCTCGCACCTTCGACTCCCGCTGTGCCAAATCGGAGAGGCTTTCCCCCGAGAGACTGGAGAGACACCAGGAACCGCACATCTCACACTCGGACACGAACCATAAACAAACCATGTGTCTGTATCGGCTGCTCATGTCTCAGCGTCAGTTAAAGCTGGGGTACGTAACTTTCTGTTCCGTCACAAGGCAAGGTTATTTTGTATAGCACAGCTCATACACAAGGCAACTCAAAGGGACAAGACGATGATACAATTGGATTTGAACATTGTCAGAAAAGAAGCCAGTCTCACATTTTCAGGGAGACTGTTCCAGATTTTAGTTTCATAAATCTGAAAATGACTCTGACACCAGCAGGAGGCCAGTCCCTGTGCTCCTCTGAGTCCCAGCACGAGACCAGTCCCTGTGCTCCTCTGAGTCCCAGCACGAGGCCTGTCCCTGTGCTCCTCTGAGTCCCAGCACGAGGCCTGTCCCTGTGCTCCTCTGAGTCCCAGCACGAGGCCTGTCCCTGTGCTCCTCAGAGTCCCAGCACGAGGCCTGTCCCTGTGCTCCTCAGAGTCCCAGCACAAGGCCAGTCCCTGTGCTCCTCAGTCCCTATGCTGTTAAATGCAATAGTCTGTGTAAAGTGCTGTTAAGGTGCTTCACAGTCCTACAGCTCCCCCTGAGGGTGAATTTGGAACTGCAGCCTCCAAAAGAACCAGAAAGAGCCGGATCGGACTTCTACATGTGTAATCCTCTGTGGAAGTAAGATCCCTGTGAGTCACTATCCGACTCTTTGGGCTGAGAGAGGGTGGTCCTCTCTGTCACTTTTCTGTCTGAAAACGCAGATTTAAAAAAGTGACAGAAACAAAAGGAACTAGAGAAAGAATCAAACGGTTTAGAGCCAGGAACAGGGACATGGGGTTTATTGTTGAAAGTTACGTACCCCAGCTTTAATGTATGTAACCTTTGTGACTGGTGACTAATACATTTTTCCAAGCAAAAAAACTGCTACACTGAAAGAAAACCTTAAATAATTATTAAGAATTGGTTTTATGTGGATTCTGGTTCAGTTTTACTTCTTTCCTCTCAATGTTATTTTAAACTATTTATTCAGACCATTTACAATTAAACTCTGCTTTTATTAAAACATATTAGTGTGACATCACCACAGTGTGACATCACCACAGTGTGACATCACCACAGTGTCAGCTTTAAAGCAGAAGAAGCTGATTTGAACATAAGCTGGAGCCAGTGTCCTTATATGGGCATTTGTTCCGACAGCGTTTGCTTTGCGCCATAACAGGAGCCGATGTGTTGCTAAGACGGTTGCTAAGGCAAGCTAGAGCATCACCCCTGAATGAAGGCCTCTGATTGGCTCATGAGGATCATAGAAAACACTAAGCCCAAAACGGTGAGCGAGACACACACGGTTACTGAGCATTTACTTTTAAACGTGAGTCGATATGAGCCAGAGAGAGACAGAGCCAAACTTCGTTCATTAGCACTTCCCTATTGGGCTAGCGGGTTAGCATTGTCAATCTGTGTGCAGTCTATACACGGTAAAGAGTCAGACATTGCTCAAATTTGGCTAAATGTATCTTAATTTGACTCTTCAAACCAGATTTTCCAACGGGACAAAGCAGAATGAGTTTGTGTTTAAAAGATACAGAAATGTCTCTCTTGGAATGAGAAAATAAACAGTTCCTGAAAAGAAACTAGATGTCTTTGTCCCGTTGGAGAATCTGGTTTTAACACAGTCAGAATGAACCCAGATTAAGATTAAAAACACTCGATTCAAGCTATTTTCATTTTTAGCGTTTTTGTACATAACACCTTTACAAAACTGACAGATTCTGCTTCAGTCGGAGGTTTTCTCAGAGTTGGTTTGTAAAGTGTAGAAAGAAACCAGTCATAAATGTTGAGAATCATAAATGGTTTGGAGCAGTGTCTGAGTGACGTGTGCGGCTCCTGCTGAGGATCTATGTGGATGTAGACTGGCAGGCCTTAAAACCCAGAGATGCCCAGTCTAGAGCCGGAGAGACCACCCCAAAATGGCCGCCCCAGTATTTCCTGTTGAGAACGAGGGAGTACGGTGGCCTCCAAGGGTCAAAACACAAGATAATGTTGGTTTAATAAATTATGCAGCGTTTTCAGAATGGAGAAAATCAACTAAAATTATTAAAATAACTTTTTTTTAAAGTGAAAAAACACCGACCATTTATAGTTTTTATTTTATCTGTTTTCAATATTTTTTCAAAGTAATTTATTTATTTCACATTCATTTTTCACAACAACAAAACGCTGTAGCCCCGTTTCCACCAGCCCTACTCTAGAGCAGAGATGGGGCTGGTGGAAACGGGGCTTCAATTAGATTCTCTTTTTGAAATTAATTTTAAAAAAATAGTTGTTGAGAAAAATATTTTAGTTTGATTTAAAGAAAAACAAGTAGTGATTATTACTGGTTGAACAAATCCTGCTAAAGTGACCGATTGTGGTTAATTTATCTGTTTATGACGGAGCCACCGTGGTCTCTGTTCTCTCTGGGCTCAGGCTGTTGTTACCTCAGCCCACCAGGGGGCGCTCACACTGGCCTTACCCTCTGCTTTGGATGGATTTCTTTGAAGGTTTTTTGGGAGAAAAGAAGAAACAAAAGCGAAAAACAATTGAGCCAAAAACCTCTGGCAGCTTCGTCGGCTCTGTCTCCACCAAATCCACTTTTACACTTTTCAAACTATTTATTTTTACTGTTTTTAAGACGTTTAAAACACGTGATATTTTTACAGAGCGAGGTTTGACGGAAAAATATTATTGGATAAATGAAAATATGATCTATCTTTACTCTACTCTACCCTACTCTACTCTACTCTACTCTACTCTACTCTACCCTACTCTACCCTCCCCTACCCTACCCTACTCTACCCTACCCTACCCTACCCTACCCTACTCTACTCTACCCTACTCTACCCTACCCTACTCTACTCTACTCTACTTTATTCTACTTTATTCTACTCTATCTTACCCTACTCTACTCTACCCTACTCTTACCCTACTCTACTCTACCCTCTACTCTACTTTATTCTACTCTACTCTACTCTATCTTACCCTACTCTACTCTACCCTACTCTACTCTACTCTATCTTACCCTACTCTACTCTACCCTACTCTACTCTACTCTACTCTACTCTACTTTATTCTACTCTACTCTACTCTATCTTACCCTACCCTACCCTACTCTACTCTACTCTACTCTACTCTACTCTACTCTACTCTACTCTTACCCTACTCTATTTTACTCTACTCTACTCTACTCTACTCTACTCTACTCTAAACTCCATGCACTCGCCACAACCGAAGAATAAATGTTTTCTTGCGTAGATCTGGTGGACACAGGGCCAAACCTCCATCGCCGCAGTAGATATGCAGTATTCTGTTCACAAGACTTTTCATAAACACTTGTTTTTAGCTAACGACACACGGCGAATGCTAACGACGTGACATCACAAGGTCTCAATTTGAGTCGTTTTATTTCTTCCGAACCCTTTTCTTTCTACGAGATGTGACACTGAAAAGCAATAATTTCGATCCTAACTTTCTGATTTTGAAGAGAAAGAAAATGTTATTGAATCTAAAGCCGCTGGAGCCGGATTTGTGGCGGTAAAAGTTGGTGTTTCTCATAATTTAAGTAAAAAATCTTGCTCCAGTGGTTTGATTTTGCTTCAGAAATGACTATTTATAAGTGAAAAATAATGACAAATCTGCTGTTTTTGTTCTTAAACTATTGAACACTCGGTCGTTTGAAGATTAACCAGAAGCAATAATGTTTTGAGTTTAAAAAGTTGCTTAAATCGAGTTAAAACGACTTAAAATGGAAATGTTGTGAATCGAAGTCGTTCCAACTGTCGCAGAGGATCTGAACATAACCCTGATATTTACACATTTTTTACATTTTTACCCTAAAAACACAGACTGTTTTTGTAACTTTCCTCTCTCTCCCTTTGTCTCTCTCTTTGTCCCTGTCTCACTGGTCTCTCACCTCGAGCTGGTCTCTGGTCCCTCTCTGGTCCCTCTCTGGTCCCTCTCTCTCTCTACCCTTCTCTCTCTAGTCTTCCTGGTCTCTCTCGTCTCTCCTCCTCTCTCGCTCTGGTCTCTCTTTCTCTACCCTTCTCTCTAGTCTCTCTCCCCCTCCCTCTCTGCTCTCTCTCTCTCGTCTCTCCCTCTCTCTCTCCCCCTCTCTCTCTCTCTCCCCTTCTTCTTTCTCTCTCCCCCTCCCTCTCTGCTCTCTCTCTCTCCCTCTCTGCTCTCTCCCCCTCTCTCTCTCTCTCGTCTCTCTCTCTGCTCTCTCTCCCCCTCTCTCTCTCTCTCTCTCTCTCTCTCCCCCTCTCGTCTCTCTCTCCCCCTCTCGTCTCTCTCTCCCCCTCTCGTCTCTCTCTCTCTCTCTGCTCTCTCCCCCTCCCCCTCTCTCTCTCCCCCTCCCTCTCTGCTCTCTCTCTCTCTCTCTCCCCCTCTCTCTGCTCTCTCTCCCCCCTCTCTCTCTCTCTCTCCCCCTCTCTCTCTCTTTCCCCCTCTCTCTCCCCCCCCCCCCCTCTCTCTCTCTCCCCCCCTCTCGTCTCTCTCCCCCCCCCCCTCTCTCTCTCCCCCTCTCTCTCTCTTTCCCCCTCTCTCTCTCCCCCCCCCTCTCTCTCTCTCTCCCCCTCTCGTCTCTCTCCCCCTCCCCCTCTCTCTCTCCCCCTCTCTCTCTCTTTCCCCCTCTCTCTCTCCCCCCCCCCTCTCTCTCTCTCTCCCCCTCTCGTCTCTCTCCCCCTCCCCCTCTCTCTCTCCCCCTCTCTCTCTGCTCCCCCCCCCCCCTTCTCTCTTGCTCTCTCTCCCCCTCTCTCTCTCTGGTCTCTCTCTCTGCTCTCTCCCCCCCTCTCTCTCTGCTCTCTCCCCCCCCCTCTCTCTCTCTCGCCCTCTCCCTCTCTCTCCCCCTCTCTCTCTAGTCTCTCTCCCCCTCTCTCTCTGCTCTCTCCCCCCCCTCTCTCTCTCGCCCTCTCCCTCTCTCTCCCCCTCTCTCTCTAGTCTCTCTCCCCCTCTCTCTCTGCTCTCTCCCCCCTCTCTCTCTCTCTCGCCCTCTCCCTCTCTCTCCCCCTCTCTCTCTAGTCTCTCTCCCCCTCTCTCTCTGCTCTCTCCCCCCCTCTCTCTCTCTCTCTCTCGCCCTCTCCCTCTCTCTCCCCCTCTCTCTCTGGTCTCTCTCTCCCCCTCTTCTCTGCTCTCTCCCCCTCTCTCTCTGCTCTCTCTCTCCATCTCCATCCTACTCTCCCATACTTAGATACTAAATGCACAGATATAGGATGGTACTATAGGGCCGTTGCGTGCGTAGCCTCCAGATGTGACCCCTGCATGTAACCGCCATCAAAGGAAACCCAGACTTGCACTTGACCCACACTGTAAAACAAATATTTACCGAATATAAATCTTTTATATCGTCTCGTTTATATTTATATCTGAGTGGCTTCGATCGGCGCCACTCGCTTCATCCTGTTCACAGAAGGTGAGTCAGAAATGTTTTATATCTGTACTTTTTCAGTTGTTTGGACTCGGAAAAGATAAGAAATCTGAAGGTTTTTATATCGTTGTTTTGACTTAAGTTTGATTTGAAGATACACTTTTTTTAATCATGTTTTTGGCCCAATGTTTTCAGGAAGAAATAGCCCCAAAAATGGTTTAGTTTTTCACCAGTTTTATTAAAAGTGAGTCATTTGTAAGGTTTGTGTCTTTACTCACTTTCACTAAGAGCTAAAACTGGTGCATGAAAGAAAACAGCTAATGCTAACAGTTGGTAGCACAGTGCGTTGCTATGGTAACCAGCCATGGATCTATAATAGTAACCAGCACTCGCTCTTCTCTGGTGGAAAACAAAACTGAACCAGGGTCAGTCCAAGGCCAGTCCAGGACCAGTCCAAGGCTAGTGCGTGACCAGTCCAGGACCAGTCCGAGGCTAGTGCGTGACCAGTTCAAGACCAGCCAAGGCCAGTCTGAGACCAGTACGAGACCAGTCCAGGACAAGTCCAAGACCAGTCCAGGACCAGTCCGAGACCAGTCGAAGAGCCAAGGCCAATCCGAGACCAGTCCAGGACCAGTCCAGGACCAGTCCGAGACCAGTCCAAGATCAGCCCAGTATTGGTCCAAAAACTAGTTTTTTACTCATTTAGCTAAACCTTTGTCTCTTTTCCTTCCCTGAGTTTTGTTGAAATGTATAAAGTGTTTTTCCGGATCTTTCATTTTTAAGTCAAAACAACTGAAATCGTCCAAATCTAAATATATTTGTATATATTTGTTTTGCAGTGCATTGTTCTGTATATTTTATTTTAATTTTGATGTTTTTTTACTTCCTGTCCCGTGTTTCAAACGAGGCCGTCTTGATGTTGTGGTTGTCGCCAGATCTTCCCTGAACCTTTTTATTATATTATTATTATTATTATTATTATTATTAATCTAATTATTATTGCTTGATCAGTTCTGGCGCCCGGCGAGTCTGTTGATTGTACACGTTCCAAGTCCATAGAAAAGAAAAAGAAATCGATGTTGTTTTGCTTCAGTGGAGAAATGCTTTTTTTAAATAAATTAATTTAAAGCCCAGAGAGTTGTTGTGTCTCTGTAACAACGCAACTCAAGAAGTCTGTCTCACGTTTTCAGGAAGACTGTTCCAGAGTTTAGCCTAAATCTGAGATGCTGCCTCCTCATAGATAGTCCTGAGTCTGGGACCAGCAGGAGTCCAGTCCCTGTGCTCCTCAGAGTCCCAGCAGGACTTACAGTATGTGATGGTACTTCAATTCTATAGTCAGGACTCTGGTCTCTCTCTGGTCTCTCTCTGGTCTCTCTCTGGTCTCTCTCTGGTCTCTCTCTGGTCTCTCTCTGGTCTCTCTTTGGTCTCTCTCTGGTCTCTCTCCGCTCTCTCTCTGGTCTCTCTCTGGTCTCTCTCTGGTCTCTCTCTGGTCTCTCTCTGGTCTCTCTCTGCTCTCTCTCTGGTCTCTCTCTGATCTCTCTCTGGTCTCTCTCTGGCCTCTCTCTGGTCTCTCTCTCTCTGGTCTCTCTCTCTGGTCTCTCTCTGGTCTCTCTCCGCTCTCTCTCTGGTCTCTCTCTGCTCTCTCTCTGGCCTCTCTCTGGTCTCTCTCTCTTCTCTCTCTCTGCTCTCTCTCTGGTCTCTCTCTGGTCTCTCTCCGCTCTCTCTCTGGTCTCTCTCTGATCTCTCTCTTCTCTCTCTCTGGTCTCTCTCTGGTCTCTCTCTGGTCTCTCTCTGCTCTCTCTCTCTGGTCTCTCTCTCTGGTCTCTCTCTCTGCTCTCTCTCTGGTCTCTCTCTCTGGTCTCTCTCTGGTCAAGTTGATAAATATATAAATTCACACAAACTTTTGAAGGAGCTTGAAAAATGTCTTCCATCTGTGTCAGTCGTTTTTCACGTGATGCAAAATGTTCTTAGTTTTAATCCATACGAGTGTCCCATAGGTGGCATGGGTGATGCACTGTCCTTTGAGCCTGAAGGTTGTGGGTTCGATTCCACCACAAGACTTACTTCCTGACTCCAACTGATGTCTGCTGTCATTGTGTCCTTGGGCAAGACACTTAACCTCACTTTGCCTGAAGCCCCCACTGAAAGACCAAGGCTCCTGTGGACTCAGCACCTGCAGGAGGATCAGGGAGGGGCTGGTGCTCTGACTGCCACCTGCGACCCAGAAATGGATTAATGGGAAGAAATGGGTGGATGGATGGTTACAACTTTGCTCCTTGTCAGAACCAGGCTCCATTTCAATTTGTTGATGTATCGTCCTAAACAACGCAACAGACTCAGAGGATTCTCTCTGGTCTCGCTCTTGGCTCTGTCTCTGGTCCCTTTATGGCCTCTCTCTTGTCTCTATGGTCTCTCTGTTTTCTCTGTCTCTAGGTTCTTCTCCCCCTGGTATCTTTCTTGTCCCTCTCTGGTCTCTCTCTGGTCTCACTGGTCTCTCCCTAGTCTCTCTCTGGTCTCTCTCTCTCTAGTCTCTCTCTGGTCTCACTGGTCTCCCTCTGGTCTTTCTCTGGTCTCACTGGTCTCTCTCTAGTCTCTCTCTAGTCTCACTGGTCTCTCTCTGGTCTCACTGGTCTCTCTCTGGTCTCTCTCTGGTCTCACTGGTCTCTCTCTAGTCTCTCTCTGGTCTCACTGGTCTCTCTCTCTCTCTCTCTGGTCTCACTGGTCTCTCTCTGGTCTCACTGGTCTCTCTCTAGTCTCTCATTGGTCTCTCTCTGGTCTCACTGGTCTCTCTCTAGTCTCTCTCTGGTCTCACTGGTCTCTCTCTGGTCTCACTGGTCTCTCTCTAGTCTCTCTGGTCTCTCTCTGGTCTCACTGGTCTCTCTCTGGTCTCACTGGTCTCTCTCTGGTCTCACTGGTCTCTCTCTAGTCTCTCTGGTCTCTCTCTGGTCTCACTGGTCTCTCTCTAGTCCCTCTCCATGTGAAAATTAGTGATAGAACCTGGTAAGGAGAGAGAGAGAGAGAGAGAGAGGCCATGGCTTTCATCATTTCTTTTATTTTTGTGTTTCAGTTTAACAGCAATTTAGAATTCTTTTATTTTATTTTTCCACAGAAGGGTGTTGTTTTCATATTGTCTTCTTCAGGTCCAGGTTCAGTTCAGCGTTTGTCCACAAGATGGCAGTAGAAGTACACGTACATTTCAGCGGCAAGAACCAAGTCAGTATAACGACTTTCTGTACAGCACTTTTGAGTTACTTTGTATGAACTGTGCCATACAAATAAACTCACCTTATTTTTATACCATACTGTAGTAAACAAACTCATGAAACCACTTCACCTCTCCGTCTTTGATCTAAAACGTATTCAAAAATAAATTCATGAATCATGTTTTGATTAAAGACATTTATATTATCAGCAAATACCAGATGAATGAACCTCTGGGCCCTGCAGGCTCCGCTCAGACCACGGACCACGTCATCCATCCATTGTTTGTTTGCTTCTTTGTTTTTCTTTGCGGCGCAGATCCAGAAATTAAAGCTGGGTTATGTGACTTTCAGATCGAAAATAAAATAAATTATGTCATGAAATACGTTTCATCGCTTTTTTGGACAGAAAAGTGGTAGAGACCAGAGAGAGACCAGAGAACAACCACAGAGAGAGATCAAAGAGAGAGACCAGAGAGAGAGTCCAAAGAGAGAGACCAGAGAGAGACTAGAGAGAGACCAGAGAGAGACCAGAGAGAGACCAGAGAGAGACCAGAGAGAGACAAGAGAGAGATCAAATGGAGAAAGAGACCAAAGAGAGAGAGACCAGAAAGAGACTAGATAGAGACCAAACAGATACGAAAGAGAGAGACCAGAGAACAACCAGGAAAGGACCAGAGGAAAACCAGAGAGAGACTTGAGACCATGAGAGAATATGGCTCTTTACATCTAGTTTCCACACACATGTATTTCTGGCCCAAAGAGTCCAATAGTGATTCACGGGGATCTTTCTCACACTAACGTCTTGATGGCATTCTGTGGTCTGGTTTGTTCACAAGGCTTTTTCTGTTGGGACCAACAACAAAAAAACACTACCTTTTTGTAAATATTTAGGTACCACAGCTTTAACCATACAGTAAATTAGCATCTCAGGTGAAAGAAAGAGAAAATAAAAACATAAATAAACTTTAAACCCGAGTCTAAAGCAGTGAAGTGTTGGAGAGTGTTCTTGTTTCAGCTGCACTCTTACCCCCTCATCATCTTTCTCGTTGTCCCTGTCTCCTGCTGCTGCTGCTGCTGCTGCTGCTGCTGCTGCTGCTGCTGCTGCTGCTGCTGCTGCTGCTGTGTGGGAGGCCGTCGTCATGGAGACCGAGAGGCTGGCGTCGCCCTGGATACGAGCGATGGAGCCCAGAGGTGAAGCAGTTCAGGCTTTTGTTATAGAGAGCGAGGACGTTGGTGTGTGTGTGTGTGTGTGTGTGTGTGCGTGCGTGTGCGTGCGTGTGTGTGTGTGTGTGTGTGTGTGTGTGCGTGCGTGCGTGTGTGCGTGTGTGTCCACTTTGATCACAGTGAGAAAGTATTCAGTCCCTTTGCACGTGTTTCATTGTTTTGATTTGTTTATGGTCTCGCTCTTCCTGGTCTGGTCAGAGAGAGACCAGAGAGAGAAAGAGAGCAGAGGGACAGACCAAAGAGACTGGAGAGAGAGACCAGAAAGAAAATAGAGAGAAACCAAACAGATAACAGAGAGAGACCAGAGAGAGAGAGCAGATAACATAATTTTATGGCCGCAGTTCCGCTCTCTGCGGGGGGGCGACAGTAGCATTGGCGTCTGAGCCAGAAGGTCGTGGGTTTGAGCCCACCTCAAGACTTTCACTGATGTCTGCTGTCGTTGTGTCCTTGGGCAAGACACTTAACCTCTGGGAACACCAGGTGCCACAGTGGGGCGGCTGTAAAGTGCCAAACTGCCGCAGTTTTGTTGCAGTGTTCTGAGGCCACGCGAGGACAAGTGCATGCTGGGACAGACTCGCTGCTCTATTTGGGAAAACAAAATATGTGGTTGCCAGTGGAGACGGTCACCACGGCAACAAAAGCGTCGGGCCAAAAATAATTTAATAAAACAAAAAGTACAAAAACAACGATACAAAAATCTGTCAAAGTCTGAGTCTTTGGGGGAGTCTGGTCTGAACCGGATCCTTGATCTCACATTTAACACTCACTCCGGTTGTTACATCTGGAAGGCCTCAGATTATGTACTTTGTGGCTTTTTCTGTTTCTATTTGTACTTAGTTTATATTTCATTATTTGTAGCGCCAAACTGCTAGATCTCCCAGAGCCGCCATTTTGACTGCTCTCATTCGAAAAAAGTGTAGATTTTTGATAGATGTCCGAAATGTACAAAATGTCAATGTCTTTTTTCCTTCACTCAGTGCTGATCTGGTATATATATATAAATAAAAATTGTCCACTCACCTTTGGCCCTCCGCGGGCGGTTATCCCTCTCTAAGCTCGGGGCCTCTACAGAGGCCTGGGAGCCTGAGGGTTCAGTATCTTTGCTGTTCCTAGCACTGCACATTTCTGGACCCAGATGTCCGAGGTTGTTCCGGGGATCCGCTGTAACCTCTTCTAGCTTCGGGGTCACTGCCCCGAGTGCACCGATCACCACGGGCACTACTGTGACCTTTACCCTCCAGGCCCTCTCACTACTGTCACCTTTACCCTCCAGGCCCTCTCACTACTGTGACCTTTACCCTCCAGGCCCTCTCACTACTGTCACCTTTACCCTCCAGGCCCTCTCACTACTGTGACCTTTACCCTCCAGGCCCTCTCACTACTGTGACCTTTACCCTCCAGGCCCTCTCACTACTGTGACCTTTACCCTCCAGGCCCTCTCACTACTGTCACCTTTACCCTCCAGGCCCTCTCACTACTGTGACCTTTACCCTCCAGGCCCTCTCACTACTGTGACCTTTACCCTCCAGGCCCTCTCACTACTGTGACCTTTACCCTCCAGGCCCTCTCACTACTGTGACCTTTACCCTCCAGGCCCTCTCACTACTGTGACCTTTACCCTCCAGGCCCTCTCACTACTGTGACCTTTACCCTCCAGGCCCTCTCACTACTGTGACCTTTACCCTCCAGGCCCTCTCACTTACTGTGACCTTTACCCTCCAGGCCTTCCCTCCTCTCACTGTGACCTTTACCCTCCAGGCCCTCTCACTACTGTGACCTTTACCCTCCAGGCCCTCTCACTACTGTGACCTTTACCCTCCAGGCCCTCTCACTACTGTGACCTTTACCCTCCAGGCCCTCTCACCTCAGGCCTCTCACTGTGACCTTTACCCTCCAGGCCCTCTCACTACTGTGACCTTTACCCCAGGCCCTCTCACTACTGGCCCTCCTCCAGCCTCTCACTACTGTGACCTTTACCCTCCAGGCCCTCTCACTACTGTGACCTTTACCCTCCAGGCCCTCTCACTACTGTGACCTTTACCCTCCAGGCCCTCTCACTACTGTGACCTTTACCCTCCAGGCCCTCTCACTACTGTGACCTTTACCCTCCAGGCCCTCTCACTACTGTGACCTTTACCCTCCAGGCCCTCTCTCTACTGTCTCCTTTACCCTCCAGGCCCTCTCTCTACTGTGACCTTTACCCTCCAGGCCCTCTCTCTACTGTGACCTTTACCCTCCAGGCCCTCTCTCTACTGTGACCTTTACCCTCCAGGCCCTCTCACTACTGTGACCTTTACCCTCCAGGCCCTCTCACTACTGTGACCTTTACCCTCCAGGCCCTCTCACTACTGTGACCTTTACCCTCCAGGCCCTCTCACTACTGTGACCTTTACCCTCCAGGCCCTCTCACTACTGTGACCTTTACCCTCCAGGCCCTCTCCAGCTCCTCTCTGAGACCTTGGTATTTCTCAAGCTTTTCATGTTCTTTTTTCGGATGTTACCATCGCTTGGAATTGCCACGTCCACCACCACGGCTGTCCTCTGCCCTTTGTCCACCACCACGGCTGTCCTCTGCCCTTTGTCCACCACCACGGCTGTCCTCTGCCCTTTGTCCACCACCACGGCTGTCCTCTGCCCTTTGTCCACCACCACGGCTGTCCTCTGCCCTTTGTCCACCACCACGACTGTCCTCTGCCCTTTGTCCACCACCACAATGTAGAAGGTTGTTATTCAAGGCACAGATCTGTTTTTTAGTGGTTTTAGTGAAGTCTAAGTCTAGATGTTTGGATGAGTGAAGGGAACTTTGTCCTCTGCATTTGACCCGTCCTGAATCCGCGGTGGTCGCCGTAGAACAGCGCCCAGAACCCAACTCCAGATGTTGATATTGGAGGATCTACTGTAAATGTTTTTTGTGGTAGGGGAAACCGGAGCACCTGGAGGAAACGAAGAGAACTGGGAATGTATACTTTACCCATAGTCCTCAGGGATCTTCTTTGTCCATCCATCCGTCCATTTCTTCCCCTTAATCCATTTCTGGGTCAGGGGTGGCGGTCAGAGCACCAGCCCCTCATCCACAGGAGTCTATCTTCTTTGTCGATCTTCTCTTTGTTATGAAACATGATATTATTGTAATTTAGAAAAATGAGTTTGTTTAAAATGACAAAGACAAACTCACTCATGTCGGTTTTTGAGAAGTGAGAAAAGAAAGTTGGATAAACGTGGTCAGAATGTAGAGCATGAGGAGGACAGGGCTGTTGTCATGGAAACAGATGGACACATGACCCTCTGTGTGACTTTATACAACGAACACATAAGCACTTCCTGCTTCCCATGATGCACCAGGGCGTGAGAGAGGGGCACTGAACCAGACTCAGAGGAAGACAGACCATGTGTGTGTTTGTTCTGGTTCAGGAGGTGAATGATGACAATGAGAGTGTGTAACATCACTGCAAGGCAACCCAGGAATTTAACTGGAGGATTTTGTCAATGAGCAGGATCAGACACACACACACACACACACACACATATGAAGAGAAAGAGAGAGACACACACACACAGAGACACACACATATGAAGAGAAAGAGAGACACACACACACACAGAGACACACACATATGAAGAGAAAGAGAGACACACACACACACACACAGAGACACACACATATGAAGAGAAAGAGAGAGACACACACACACAGAGACACACACATATGAAGAGAAAGAGAGAGACACACACACACAGAGACACACACATATGAAGAGAAAGAGAGAGACACACACACACACAGACACACACATATGAAGAGAAAGAGAGACACACACACACACAGAGACACACACATATGAAGAGAAAGAGAGACACACACACACACACACAGAGACACACACATATGAAGAGAAAGAGACACACACACACACACACACAGAGACACTTGGACACAGCGACAGTTTGGCACTTTACAGCCGCTGTGGCACCTGATGTTCCCAGAGGTCTCCCATCACAAAACTAACTAAACTGAGTATGGCCTGACCTGCTTAGCTTCAGAGGTCTGACAGGATCTGACTGTGACCTGCAGGTGGTAGGCTTAGGGAGTAGAGTAGAGTAGAGTAGAGTAGAGTAGAGTAGAGCACAGTAGAGTAGAGTAGAGTAGAGTAGAGTAGAGTAGAGCACAGTAGAGTAGAGTAGAGTAGAGAACAGTAGAGCACAGTAGAGCACAGTAGAGTAGAGTAGAGTAGAGTAGAGTAGAGTAGAGCACAGTAGAGTAGAGTAGAGTAGAGTAGAGTAGAGCACAGTAGAGTAGAGTAGAGTAGAGTAGAGTAGAGCACAGTGGAGTAGAGTAGAGTAGAGTAGAGCACAGTAGAGTAGAGTAGAGTAGAGTAGAGTAGAGTAGAGCACAGTAGAGTAGAGTAGAGTAGAGTAGAGTAGAGTAGAGCACAGTAGAGTAGAGTAGAGTAGAGTAGAGCACAGTGGAGTAGAGTAGAGTAGAGTAGAGTAGAGCACAGTAGAGTAGAGTAGAGTAGAGTAGAGTAGAGCACAGTGGAGTAGAGTAGAGTAGAGTAGAGTAGAGCACAGTAGAGTAGAGTAGAGTAGAGTAGAGCACAGTAGAGTAGAGTAGAGTAGAGCACAGTAGAGTAGAGTAGAGTAGAGTAGAGTAGAGTACAGTAGAGCAGAGTAGAGCACAGTAGAGTAGAGTAGAGTAGAGTAGAGTAGAGCAGAGTAGAGCACAGTAGAGTAGAGTAGAGTAGAGTAGAGCACAGTAGAGTAGAGTAGAGTAGAGTAGAGTAGAGCACAGTAGAGTAGAGTAGAGTAGAGCACAGTGGAGTAGAGTAGAGTAGAGTAGAGTAGAGCACAGTAGAGTAGAGTAGAGTAGAGTAGAGTAGAGCACAGTGGAGTAGAGTAGAGTAGAGTAGAGCACAGTAGAGTAGAGTAGAGTAGAGTAGAGTAGAGTAGAGCACAGTGGAGTAGAGTAGAGTAGAGCACAGTAGAGTAGAGTAGAGTAGAGTAGAGTAGAGTAGAGTAGAGCACAGTAGAGTAGAGTAGAGTAGAGCACAGTAGAGTAGAGTAGAGTGGACTGACGCTGTGATGTCACACTGTCCTCTCAGAGACTGATCAGTCAATCCAGAGCTCTGACTGCAGCCGTTGCTCCCTCGTCACTGGTCCTGGACCATGTGAGCTGGAGGAGCTGGTTTTTCACTGAGTCGTACATTTGTCCAGACGTTCATTGTCCTTGGATCAGGTCTGTCTCTGTTTCCGTGGAAACCGACCTCAGTAGAGTAGAGTAGAGAACAGTAGAGCACAGTAGAGCACAGTAGAGTAGAGTAGAGTAGAGTAGAGTAGAGTAGAGTAGAGCACAGTAGAGTAGAGTAGAGTAGAGTAGAGCACAGTAGAGTAGAGTAGAGTAGAGTAGAGTAGAGCACAGTAGAGTAGAGTAGAGTAGAGTAGAGCACAGTAGAGTAGAGTAGAGTAGAGTAGAGTAGAGCACAGTAGAGTAGAGTAGAGTAGAGTAGAGTAGAGCACAGTGGAGTAGAGTAGAGTAGAGTAGAGCACAGTAGAGTAGAGTAGAGTAGAGTAGAGTAGAGTAGAGCACAGTGGAGTAGAGTAGAGTAGAGCACAGTAGAGTAGAGTAGAGTAGAGTAGAGCACAGTAGAGTAGAGTAGAGTAGAGAACAGTAGAGCACAGTAGAGCACAGTAGAGTAGAGTAGAGTAGAGTAGAGTAGAGTAGAGTAGAGTAGAGCACAGTGGAGTAGAGTAGAGTAGAGTAGAGTAGAGTAGAGTAGAGTAGAGTAGAGTAGAGTAGAGCACAGTAGAGTAGAGTAGAGTAGAGTAGAGTAGAGTAGAGTAGAGTAGAGCACAGTAGAGTAGAGTAGAGTAGAGTAGAGTAGAGCACAGTAGAGCACAGTAGAGCACAGTAGAGTAGAGTAGAGTAGAGTAGAGTAGAGTAGAGTAGAGTAGAGTAGAGTAGAGTAGAGTAGAGTAGAGCACAGTAGAGTAGAGTAGAGTAGAGCACAGTAGAGTAGAGTAGAGTGGACTGACGCTGTGATGTCACACTGTCCTCTCAGAGACTGATCAGTCAATCCAGAGCTCTGACTGCAGCCGTTGCTCCCTCGTCACTGGTCCTGGACCATGTGAGCTGGAGGAGCTGGTTTTTCACTGAGTCGTACATTTGTCCAGACGTTCATTGTCCTTGGATCAGGTCTGTCTCTGTTTCCGTGGAAACCGACCTCAGTTTGTGGCTGGGACTGACACAGACTGGGACTGACACAGACTGGGACTGACACAGACTGGGACTGACACAGTCTGGGACTGACACAGTCTGGGACTGACACAGTCTGGGACTGACACAGACTGGGACTGACACAGTCTGGGACTGACACAGTCTGGGACTGACACAGTCTGGGACTGACACAGACTGGGACTGACACAGTCTGGGACTGACACAGTCTGGGACTGACACAGACTGGGACTGACACAGTCTGGGACTGACACAGTCTGGGACTGACACAGACTGGGACTGGGCGGCCGGTGGCTGAGTGGATAGCGCTCTCGCTTCTCAGAGAGAAGGTCCTGGGTTCAAATCCCGGTTGGAACAGGGCCTTTCTGAGTGGAGTTTGCATGTTCTCCCCGTGTCTGCGTAGGTTTCCTCCGGGTGCTCCGGTTTCCCCTTCCACTAAAAACATGCACAATAGGTCTGAGTGTAAATGAGAGAGTGAATGGATGGTGTTGGAGCTTCTGTCGTCACCGTGTGTGGAAGGACTGGAACAATATCTGACTCTGAACATTGGAAAGTGCTTTGGGTCTGTACCTTGGTCTGTAACATGTGCTATATAAGTAAACATTACTTACTTACAGACACAGACTGGGACTGATACAGTCTCATCCAAGAGGAAACAAAAAACTATTTTCTTTTCTGGAGCCTTTCGATTTTTTTCTGATGAAGATGAAATCCATCAATTTTCTTCTGCTTTATCCGTTGCCGGGCAGCGGAGGCAGCAGTCTTCAACTGGCTCCTCTCCACATGGAGGAGCAGCAACTCTACTCCGAGCTCCTCCTCTTATCTCTGTTGAAGACCTCTGGTTTTGGTTCACTTCTATTCAGTTCCATAGAACTGGTGTTTTTAGGAGAGTCTTTCCCATGATGCTCTGCATCTCACTGATGCTTCAGTCGTTTTTACTGGAGGTAAAGTCGGAGAAAACTCAACTCACTAAAAGTCTGTGACTCGTGAACACTAAAGCACTGATCCTCTGAACACGATCCTCTGATTTTCCTTTGGACCAAAACGGTCTAAAACGGTCTAAAACACAGATGACCTACTTCCTCTGGTCACCGGAGATGTGTGTTTGAGATTTTCTTTGACTCGGCTCCAGTGACACAAAAACAACATAATCTCAGATAATTCACAGGTCACAGAAGGTTATCCAACTGTGGCAGGAGGCTCGGCTTCTCAACCGGGGGGACGCGAACCTCTGAGACCCACTGAGACCCACTGAGACCCACTGAGACCCACTGAGACCCACTGAGACCCACTGAGACCCACTGAGACCCTCTGAGACCCACTGAGACCCACTGAGACCCACTGAGACCCTCTGAGACCCACTGAGACCCACTGAGACCCACTGAGACCCTCTGAGACCCTCTGAGACCCACTGAGACCCTCTGAGACCCTCTGAGACCCACTGAGACCCTCTGAGACCCTCTGAGACCCACTGAGACCCTCTGAGACCCACTGAGACCCTCTGAGACCCACTGAGACCCTCTGAGACCCACTGAGACCCTCTGAGACCCTCTGAGACCCACTGAGACCCTCCGAGACCCTCTGAGTCACCCACAGACGTGCTTCTGTCAGACTGTTGTTCAGACGTTACTTTACGTATGAACAGAGTCCTCCTGAGGAAGAGGAAACCTGGGAACATGTGTCTCTGCTTTCACCTGACTCTGAGACCAGCAGGAGGCCAGTCCCTGTGCTCCTCATAGTCCCAGCAGGAGGCCAGTCCCTGTGCTCCTCATAGTCCCAGCAGGAGGCCAGTCCCTGTGCTCCTCAGAGTCCCAGCAGGAGGCCAGTCCCTGTGCTCCTCAGAGTCCCAGAAGGAGGCCAGTCCCTGTGCTCCTCAGAGTCCCAGAAGGAGGCCAGTCCCTGTGCTCCTCAGAGTCCCAGCAGGAGGCCAGTCCCTGTGCTCCTCAGAGTCCCAGCAGGAGACCAGTCCCTGTGCTCCTCAGAGCTCTGTCTTCTGATCAAACCGACCACAACATATTTCTTCAACTTTAAAAAAAACATGTCATTGTTTTCACACTTCAAAAATGAGCCCTGTGAGTCACTACTTGACTCTTTGGGCTGAAAGTGAATAGCGTCTTCTCTGTTCTAAAGATACATGTGAGAGCGAGGAACTGTGGTTACCATGGATACAGTTTTAATATTAGTATAACCAACTCTGAGGAGCACAGGGACTGGCCATCTGCTAGGAAACTGTGGAGCACAGGGACTGGCCATCTGCTAGGAAACTGATGTGGAGCACAGGGACTGGCCTCCTGACCTGCTGGGACTCTGAGGAGCACAGGGACTGGCCTCCTGACCTGCTGGGACTCTGAGGAGCACAGGGACTGGCCTCCTGACCTGCTGGGACTCTGAGGAGCACAGTGACTGGCCTCCTGACCTGCGGGGACTCTGAGGAGCACAGGGACTGGTCTCCTGCTGGTCCCAGAGTCTGGACTAAACAGGTGGAGGCAGTATTGCAGATCCATGCAGCTAACATCTGGAACAGTCTTCCTGAGAATGTGAGACAGGCCTCTTCTCTGACAATGTTCATGTTATTGTTCAATGTTAATTATGATTTTAACGCCCTGTGTGATTGTTTCTGTATGGGTTTGTTCAGCACTTTGAGTTTCCTTGTGTATGAACTGTGCTATACAAATAAACTCTCCTCCAGCCTAATATTACTTCTGTAACTCAATTGCCAACAGCTATAACCATGTTACTTCCCATTAAGCCTGCAGAGAAAGGTCACTGTTAAAGGCCCAGGACACGTGTTGCTGCTGGTGGACTCGATCCGCGGCCCCCGAGCACATTCCTCGCAGCGGGAGGGCCTCTCTCTCAGGGGGGGGGAGGGGGAGAGAGGGGGGAGAGGTGCTGCTCTCTGCCCGCTGCTCTAATCACATCTGCGGTCAGACAGAAGCCCTGGTCCGGGAGACTGGATCCGGACAGAGCCAGAAGAGCGGGCAGAAGGAGGCAGAAGGAGGCTAAAGGAGGCTAGAGGAGCAGGCTGCAGGAGGCGGCCATGTTGGGTATGTACGGACAGACAGGTGTTTATCTAAATAATTTGAGTGATGTCAGAATGTGCACCATAGAACCACATGTGATACTATCTCCTCTTGTGCTGCTAACATGTACAGATGTAAACATACAATGTACGCACTAACATACACAGGATTTTACACTTCACTTTGCTAATGTTAGAGATTTCAGTTTTTGTTCTACTAAATTTCCCCAATGTGGGATGAATAAAGGATCTCTTAATCTTAATGTCATTTTTAGATATTAGATACAACTACATTTGTGTTTTATCATTCAGCCAACTTCAGTTCTGTCAAATGTGAATCAATATAGAGTACAACAGGGTTCATTTGGTCTTCTGAGAGGGTTAAAGACCACATTATGGACTGGGACAAAGCAAACACCACAGGGACAGAGGACGACAAACACCGACGCTGGATCAAAGAGGCAATAGATATACAGAAAAGTGCTCCATAAACCGGGACAAGGGGGCTGTTTTACTCTGCACAATGGGATTCTGTCTCAATAAGTCTCTTTGGTGTCTGTCTCTGGTGTCTCTCTGGTCTCTGTATTTATTCTGTGAGATATGTATATAATTTACATACATATATACTTATTTGATATATACTTCCTGCTCTTGTGAAGTATTTACAGCCTCTTATCCCTTTATCTATAGTGTGCTCCCTCTGTGCTCTTCCTACTGTCCTGTATGTTGGCTGCAACAGTAAAAATTTCCCCACTCTGGACGAATATAGGTTCTCTTCTAATCATTCTTACAGTCACAACATGGCGTCTCCTTCTCCCGCTCCTCCCACGGCCACGCGCCCTTTAGCTCCTCGGCCTTTCCTCCCTCACGTGTCGCTCCACGCTCTCCGCTCTCAGGTCCCGCCCCTCCCCTGCTCCTGTCCAATCAGCGGCCACCTCGCTCCGCTCCAGTGCGTGACTCCGGTGCGTGGTTTACGTACAGCTTGTTCTCTGCGCGTGAATCTAGGTCAGTCCCGGCTTTGTATTATTCAGCAGCGGCCGCGGCACGTACCGGGGAAAAACATGAATCAGGCAGAAGCAGAGGAGCAACTGGTGCTAACGTCTGAGAGTGAGCAGTCATTCTGACGGCTCTCATTCCATCAACTGGAAACTGCAAAAAACCCAAAAAACAGTTAAAGTTTTTTAATATTTTTTATTATTAATTATTAATAAATTGAATGCAACATAAATACAGAGTTTGTTAAAAGCTAGTAAAAACTAACTGTTGTCAGGTAAACAGTGTGTTGCCATGGTAACTTTGATGGATCTGAGCCAGTCCAGACCAGTTCTGAACCAGTCCAGGACCAGGACCTGTTGGCAATGGTTGATTTTTACATTTCAATTAATGGAGCAGTTTTGGGAGTTAAAGGCCAAACTAATGCATAGAAATAAAAACATTTTATTTTTATGCAAGAAAATGTCCAAAGTATAAAGCTCTTGGAGTCATTTTGACGCCTTCATTCTAAATCAGTGGAATTCTGAAAAAAAAAAAATCCCCAAAACTTCATAAAAATGAAGTTATTCTTACGATGTTTATCTTTAGTGTTAAAACTGGTGATATATATTGAAATATAACAAACGTAAATTCTGTTGTAGTAAACAGTTGCTATGGTAACTAGAATTTCGTTGTGTAGAGCTCAGAAACAGAATTATTTTATTACTGTTGTAAGTCACAAACCAGCACTTTGTTCTAACTCAAAAGTGACTTTGTTCTGACTCCTGCTACAAAAGTAAAAAGAGAAAAAGACCTGCATAAAAGAATCTGCACAGACTTTATTAAAATCAAGAAAATCACTCTTTTGTCAAGAGTCAAATATTATTTCATCAATGATAGTTTCCATGCGTCGCTTTAGCTCGACGCCTCTGAGGCAAAAGACTCAGACACAGATGAGTTAGAATATATTTATATATTTATATATATATTTATATATTTATATTGTCAAGATGCATGAACACCCCCTGCACTCCTGATGAGGAGGAGGCTCAGGTCTTCAGGAGGGCAGGGGCACCTCCTAAAGACCTTCTATGACTATAGGTTGCATCAGTCCTGGTCCAGTCCTGGTCCAGTTCTGGTCCAGTCCTGGTCCAGTCCTGGTCCAGTCCTGGTCCAGTCCTGGTTCAGTCCTGGTTCAGGGTCGGGTGTTTTCTGTTGTGGCTGAGAAGGATTTGGATCTTACCTGGAATGTAGAGACAGTTACGTAACACTCTGAGCAGCAGGACTTTGACATCTCTCCCTCTCTCTCCCCCCTCCTTCTTTCCCCCTCCCTCTTTCCCCCTCCCTCTCTTGCCCCTCTCTCTCTCCCATCTCTCTCTCCCCCTCACTTTCTCCCCCCCTCTCTCTCTCCCCCTCTCCCCCCTCTCTCTCCCCCCCCCTCTCTCTCTCCCCCTCTCCCCTCTCTCTCTCTCCCCCTCTCTCTCCCCCTCTCCCCCCTCTCCCCTCTCTCTCGCTCCCCCTCTCCCCTCTCTCCTCCCCCTCTCCTCTCCTCTCTCACCTCCCCCCTCTCCCCTCTCTCTCTCCACCCCTCCTCTCCCCTCTCTCTCCCCCTCTCTCCTCCTCTCTCCCCCCTCTCTCCCCATCCTCTCTCTCTCCCCTCCCCCCCTACTCCTCTCTCCCCCATCTCCTCCCTCCTCTCCCCCTCATCCCCCTCCCCCCTCCCCCTCCCCTCCCTCCCCTCCCCCCTCCCCTCCCCCCCTCCCCCCCCCTCCCCCCCCCCCCTCCCCCCCTCCCCTCCTCCCCCCCCCCTCCCCCCCCCTCCTCCCCCCTCCCCCCCCCCCCTCCCCCTCCCCCCCCCCCCCTCCCCCCCTCCCCCCCCCCCTCCCCCTCCCCCCCCTCCTCCCCCCCCTCCCCCCCCCCTCCCCCCTCCCCCCCCTCCCTCCCCCTCCCTCCCCCCCCCCCCCTCCCCCCCCCTCCCCCTCCCCCCCTCCCCCCCCCCTCCCCCCCCCTCCCCTCCCCCCTCCCCCTCCCCCCCCCTCCCCCCCCCCCCCCCCTCCCTCCCCCCCCCCTCCCCCTCCCCCCTCCCCCCCCTCCCCCCCTCCCTCCCCTCCCCCCTCCCCCTCCCCCCTCCCCCCCCCCCCCCTCCCCCCCCCCCCTCCCCCCCCCCTCCCCTCCCCCCCTCCTCCCTCCCCTCCCCCCTCCCCCTCCCCCCCCCCTCCCCCCCCCCCTCCCTCCCCCCCCTCCCCTCCCCCCCCTCCCCCCCCTCCCCCCCTCCCCTCCCCCCCCCCCTCCCTCCCCCTCTCCCCCCCCTCCCCCCCTCCCCCTCCCCCCCCTCCCCCCCTCCCCCCCCTCCCCCCCTCCCCCCTCCCTCCCCCTCCCCCCCCCTCCCCCCCTCCCCTCCCCCCCTCCCTCCCCCCCCTCCCCTCCCCCCCTCCCCCCCCTCCCCCCCCTCCCCTCCTCCCCCCCCCCCTCCCCCCCCCCCCCTCCCCCCCCTCCCCCCCCCCTCCCCCCCCCCCCCTCCCCTCCCCCCTCCCCCCCCCTCCCCCCCCTCCCCCTCCCCCCTCCCCCCCCTCCCCCCCCCCCCTCCCCCCCTCCCCCCTCCCCCTCCCTCCCCCCCCTCCCCCCCCCCTCCCCCCTCCCCCTCCCCCCCCTCCCCCCCTCCCCTCCCCCCCTCCTCCCCCCCTCCCTCCCCTCCCCTCCCCCCCCTCCCTCCTCCCCCCTCCCCCCCCTCCCCCTCCCTCCCCTCCCCCCCTCCCCTCCTCCCCCCCCTCCCCCCCCCCCCTCCCCTCCCCCTCCCCCCCCTCCCCCCCCTCCCCCCCTCCCCCCTCTCCCCCCCCCCCCTCCCCTCCCCCTCCCCCCTCCCTCCCCCCCCCTCCCCCCCCTCCCCCTCCCCCCTCCCCCCTCCCCTCCCCCCCCCCCCTCCCCTCTCCCCCCCCCCTCCCCCCTCCCCTCCCCCCCCCCTCCCTCCCCCCTCCCTCCCCCCCCCTCCCTCCCCCTCCCCCCCCTCCCCCCCTCCCCCTCCCCCCCCCCTCCCCCCCCCCTCCCTCCCCCCCCCTCCCCTCCCCCCCCCCCTCCCCCCCCTCCCCTCCCCCCCCCTCCCCCCCCCCCTCTCTCTCTCCCCCTCCTCCCCCTCTCCCCTCTCTCACCCCCTCTCCCCTCTCTCTCTTCTCCCCCCTCTCTCCCCTCTCTCTCCCTCTCCCCTCTCCCACTCTCTCCTCTCCTCCCCTCTCCCCTCTCTCTCTCCCCCTCTCCCTCTCTCTCTCAAACCAGTTCTGTGTGAATGAAAACCTCGTCTCCTCCTTCTGTAATGAGTGAATCAGACCAAACTTTGATGTAAAACATTTTAAGTAATTTCCATATTCTTCATTTTCCACTATTTTATATTTTTTGGTCGACAAATAAGTTCTGTATAATATTATTATAGCACTCTGTACTTTAATATTTATTTTGTGGCGATGCAGTGACGCTACCCAGAATGCAATGCAGAGAAAAATATAAACTTCTTAAAAATTCTACATTTGATTTTAAGTCTTTGAATAAACTAATTTGATCAAATAAGTAATTGTATTTATTTTGACCGTAATCTACAGGAACAAGCCAAAGCAGCGCCGTAGTTCCTGGGTTAACTTTCTGTTGATCCAGATTCTGTAAAATAATCTCCAGATTCTGTAAAATAATCTCCACACTTGTTAGAAACTGAATTCTAATTGAGTTGAAGTTTTCTTGATTCTCATCTTGAGAGTTTTAAAGTTCAGGACCTTTTTATGAAATGGTGATTACAGGATCTAACAAATTTCCTTAAGATAAAGTTACTTTGGATGAACACAAATACTGAGTAGATCAATCACTTCAAAGTCATAGTTTTCTTAATGAAGTTGATAGAACTCAAAAAGGCCGATGGAACCTCTGATGGTGTCTTTGGTTTCTGATTAAAGCTTTTCACATGTCAGAGTCTAAAGTTTCAGAAACAGATTTATCTCAAAGATTCAGATTCAGACGATTTACTGCAGCAGAAAACACACAGTTCCACCGTCATGTTTGATGACGTGTGTTCACTTCTTTGACATCAGGTTCTGACACATGTCTCAGGCCCACGTTTGGTTCGAAGACCACTGCACCTGCCGCACGTCACGCGACATCACACACCCGTCAATAAGCTGATGCAAAAGACAAAGAATCAAAGAAAAAACCAAGAAGAGAAGGGTCTCTGACAACCCCGGTCGGCTCCTGTCTCGGATTCACCACTGATCCAAAAGAGAAACGTGGAGGCGAGCTATAGGAGGAGAGGACCACAAGAGCAGAGGAGAGGAAGGGAGGCAGTAGAGACGAAACCCAGCCAAAGGGGAGAGAAAAGAGGCAGAGAGAGAAAAGAGAGCCTCAAGAAAGAGGACTAGAAAGGACATAGAAAGTGGAGAGGTAGGCACAAGCGATCAAAGCCGGCCGCCTTCTCTACTCTCGGTCTCCTCGCACAGCCCCCCCTTCCCCATTCCCCTCGAGAGACGCTCGTCAGATGTCAGAGGAGAGAGATAGACCACAAGATGAGGAGAGAGGCTCCAGAGTAAGGAAAAGGACAAGGAAAAGGCAGGAGAGGACTAACCAAAGAATGGGAGGCGGCCGCGCCAAAAAAAAGCCCAAACAGCGACATTCACCACACCCATCTACGCACGTCCCCCCACGCTACCCCCGGATAAAAACAAAAACAACCAACAAAAACTAAGCCCCGCCTCCCCCCACACACTACACCAGATCAATCCCATCGCCACGTCCCCAACGAGTGCCGCCGCACGATCCATCCCTCCCAGCTCTGATGCTCGACTCCCACAGCAACCCCACCAAGCCGAGCAACCCGAAGACGCACTACCGCGAGCCCCCCCGCCCCACCCCACCAAACCGACAAGCAACGACTCTACGCTCCATCACCCCCCCTCCAAATCAAAGAAAGAAGATCTCGTATAGCGGTGATCTCCCCCCCTGCTTCTTTGGGTGGCCTCTACGCCCCCCTGCCTCCCAACCCCGCCCCCTCGTACCCCGTCCGCCCTACCACCCCACAAGTCCCCAAGTCATTTCTCCTTCTCCAGCGGCAGATCAGTGAGCATATGACCGTCTCGCAGGATATCGGTTCCGCTTCTCCCCGTCGCGTTCCCCAACCCCGCCCCAACCGTCGCTCGCTTCCTACTCTCCGCCGCTCTTACTCATCCTCGCTCACTCCCATTCCGCTCTATTCCCTTCTTCCACACTACCCCTTATCCCCCCCCCTCCTCTCTCCTTGCTTTCTCTCCGCCTTCTCTTTCCTCCTTCTTATCGTGTTTCCTTCGTTTCCCTCCCTATGGTCTCTCCCTATACTCTCCCGTCCACCCTCGCTCTCCCTCTTCCTACTACTGTCCCCCCCTTCTCACTACGCTCGCTCCCGCTTTCGCCCTCTTGCCTCCACACATGCGCGCTCGTCCACACCGTTCCCTTCTACCCCTTCGGAGCCGTGGAGCATGGGGGCTCACGAGCTCAACGCGCCCCTCGCGTCCTACCCCCCCCAAACACACACAACCCCAACCAAAACGAACCCTGCCGCCTCCCCCCCCCCCCCCCCCCAACCCTCACTTCCACAAAATCCACGTCGTTAGTTCAGTCAGCTCCCTTCCCATGCGCCTGCCCACAGCACCTCCAATTTGCGTTCTCTGACCGCCCACCCCTCCCTTCTCCTCCCCCCCCGTCTGGCGCCGCGCGCTCTCCTA